GAGGGGACCCTGTGCAGTTTTTGTTTGACTGCAAGTAGCTCGCTCGCGCTTTCATCATGATTCTTGGGGGATCCAAGGGGCAACGGTGACGGAAACTTGGGAGAATCAATTTCGGAATGCAATGTTGCATGCGTTGCGCGATGCCGCACGGCGTGGTAGAGGCATTGCCGCCGTTTGGGCAAGTGTGTCGAGCTCTCGATTGCTAGCATCTCAGTTTCTGATAAGCATGTTTTGCGCAACGGTTACACAATTTGTAGACATCGCAAGCATTTGTGTCTGAAAAATGTGTTGCGACACCTGCCACTCGCTCAACAATCTGATATGTCAGACACCCGCGCCCAGTTCTGGCAATTATTTTGTGGCGGGTACCTGGCGGGTACCTGGCGGGTACCTGGCGGGTACCTGGCGGGCACCTGGCGGGCGCCTGGCGGGCACCCGAGCTCAAACAGTGTAAATTACCGGGGTTTGGTGACGGGTACCTGCCGGGTACCTGCCGGGTACCTGCCGGGTACCTGCCGGGCACCTGCCGGGTACCTGACGGGTGCCTGACGGGTGCCTGGCGGGGACCTGCGGGGACGGGCAGAATCCTCAAGGCAACGGGGAAAATTATGTTCGGAAGGCGCAATTGCTCGAATGATTGCGTTATTTAAGCTCTCCTTTGCTTTCTCGCCCTCCATTCTCACCATTCCTATCCCCCTCCTTCTCCTTTCCTTTCCTCCTCCCCCTCGTTATTCTTCCCTGGATGGAGGAGAAGATGAGTATTTTACTTTCCTTCTGAGCTCATTGCCCCTGGGAAGGTCAGAAACGCTCGCCACGACGCGAGCGGTGGGCAGGAGATAGGAGAAGAGGGCGGGGGGGGGGGGCTGCGGGGATAGGGAACCCTAGCGGAGCAAAGCCCAACGCAGGGGAGAGTTCGTTAGCGAGGGAGGGGGAGAGAGCGGGGAGAGGTTAGGAGAGGAGGAGGGATAGGATGAGGAGGAGGAGGAGGAGGTAGAGGAGGAGGAGGAGGAGGAGGAGGATGAATGTAGGAGGAGGGAGGGGCACGCGGGGCGGCGCGCTCGCCCCAATCGCCGCCACCTGCCGTTCTGATCGACGAGGGCGCGATGGAGGCCCCTTGCCCGCCCCTGCTCGCGCCGAGAGAGAGGGAGCGGCTCCCGCGGGAGGGCTGGGGGGGGAACGCGGGGCCGCGCGTTCGCACCCGTCGCTGCCCCGCGCGACCTCGACAGAACAAGCGCCGCCCCCCGAGCCTCGCCGTGAAGGGAGGCCCCGCGTGCGGGGGAGCGAGGATATTCCTCCTCCTCATCCTCCTCCTCATCCTCCTCATCCTCCTCCTCCTCCTCCTCCTCCTCCTCCTGCTTGTTGAAAGGTTACTGCGCTTCGTCGATGCAGACATTGGATCTCAATCAGTGACCAGGGGCCTTTCGCTCGAAATTCCCTCACATGATGTGGCGATGGTTTGCGAGCACAAGCGCCCTTTGAAGTAAGAAAACACTGGTGGGGAATAACGTCGCAAGCACTGATCGGGAATAACGCCGCAAGCACTGATTGGGAATGGCGCCGCAAGCACTGATTGGGAATAACGTCGCAAGCACTGACTGGGAATAACGCCGCAAGCACTGATTGGAAATGACGCAGCAAGCGGCGCCCCCGATCGCCGACGACAAGGTTACAAATCAAATAGCCTCTTGAGCGGCAACCCGCGGAACGATAAGACCAACCCACGGCGATAAAACCCACGCGAAGGATGGGGTCGGGAGCTCTGGACACACGTCGAACAAACAACGCACGTCGAACAAACAACAACAGCTCTGGACACACGTCGAACAAACAACGCACGTCGAACAAACAACAACAGCTCTGGACACACGTCGAACAAACAACGGGCGCTGGGCCAAGGGATAATATATCAGAGAGCGGGGGAAGGGGTGGGGAGAGAGGGAGAGGGGATGTGGGGAATAACAAATTAATGGGAGGAGGTGGAGGGAGACGGAGAGGGGGTGCAGCGCCCAAGTTCGACAGTAATGCGAGACTGAAGTGATTCCATCACGATAAATACAAAACATGCGTGGAACAATTGTGAGATGAGAAGTCCGTTGCAGGCGAACGAGCGAATCCGCATCGTCAGCATCTCCGTAGCCCTTTGGCTCAATTGAGCAATCAGTGCACGCCGCCAAAGAGACGAGTTCGGAGCCCCTCCCCCGAGCCTGATCGTTTTGATGACTCGCCAGATCCTTGGGATAATGATGACGCTGCGCAAGCAGCGCGAGTGGAGGCAGGGAACGCACTGGAGATTCATCTATTGCAACTCTACGCTCGGGGCGTTCTCGACGCGACAGCTTTTAGCATAGCATGTTGTCATGCTCACCACGCGGGGGCTCAAGGGCCCAACCTCGGACGATACGGCATGAAACCTGGGCAAAGCTCTGGGAACTACAAAAAACATGTGGACAACGTGCTGCCAGCCTCCAACGTCGAGCTGTGCTTGCTGGAAGTTCCACAACACAGGTACGGTAGACGGGTGCGACGACAAATTGCATGCGCCCCTGTCCACGAGCTTCTGGCTAAGGAAGCAGAGCTACATCCCCCAGAAGCAACGGATATGGAAGTGAATGATTGGAGCAGCGGATTTGAAACGCACCCATGGAGACATATACCTGGAGACGATCGGCCAGTATGGCCGATCGCATTTTATCTAGACGGCATTCGGTACACGAGGGCGACTTTAACAGGTAAGCAGGATTCGTTAGTGGGCATATTTGCGTATTCGCTGTTGTCGGGCAAGCGGCATTTGTTGGCAGTTTTGGCAAAGATGGAGATGTGCCGCTGTGGATGCGGCGGGCGCTGTACCATATACCCGGTTTTTCTGTTTATACGGGAATGCTTGGCGGCGGCCGCGTCTGGCCGAAGACCGCCAACTCAATGCGACGGCACCCCGTGGCCCGATGGCAATGTGCATGGCCAGCTTTTTCGCGATTTTCCTCTGCTTCCACGCAGATTCGTGTTGACCCAACTCAAAGGAGATTGGATGGAGTTCACAAGCACGTTGGGGTTTGCCAGTTGGGCCTCAAAGCACAGGCCATGCATTTTCTGCAAATGTTCTCAATCGTCGATGCACTATTATGACGGTGTCCATCTAGACGGACACGCGTGGGGCGTGCTGCCACGCAATGCGTATGAACGAGATTGCCGCAAGTGCGAGATATCCGTGCGCATTGAGACAGAAGATGACAGACATGCTATTCTTGCAGCGGGCCTTCGATTCCAAAGAACAAAAAACATCGGGACGCGTGTTGCAAAACAGCTGTGCCGAGATTCCCTGCCCTTCGGGCTCAAGACAGACTGGACCCGTCGCCTGAATGCCTTGACATAGGAGCTTTCGAAGAAGTGCCAGTGCCATTCACGGCAACGTTCTGGCGTAGACACTTCGAGCCAGGAGGCCGCGTGGGTTTGGATCCAGTTCTTCGGAGGATTCCTATATTTTGCCCCCAGGTTGGAGTCGCGCCGCAGAGTGTTCTAATGATTGATGCACTACATTCACTTTACCTAGGAGTATTCCAAAGGTTCGTCTGCGTTGTACTCTGGCAATGCTTGCTTCAAAACGTATTCGGCCTCCAAGGTAATACGGACGAAATCAGGGAGATGACTCTCGCTCGGCTCTTTTTAGATTTGAAGCAATGGTACAAACAACAAGGCATCCCCAAAAGCGATCAACTGGGTCAGCTCACGATGAAAATGATAGGCAAACCGTCCAAACAGGAGTTGAACACAAAAGCCGCAGAGACTGGCATCATCGTGGCTTGGGCTGCTGACGTTGCGCGCCGCTTTGCAGGTTCTGATCGTTTGCACGTTGCTGGCTGCTGCCTCGTGGACTACATGAGGACGTTGAAAAATCACGGTCGCATACTTCCACGGGCAACGTGTCGTGAGCTCATAGAGTTATCCGTGCGCCACATTACGTTGATGCAGGAGGCTGGCGTCAAACAGGCTCCCAAGAGCCATATGTTTGTACATCTCACCCAACGCATGCTGATGTGCGGCAATCCGCGCTCGTATGCAACTTTTTTAGACGAGTCATTGAATCGAACTTTAGCTGAAATTGCAGCTGCTGCAAATCATAGTAGGGCCACATGGGAACGCGCGATTTTTTCCCGCGTTCACTTGTTGCCACACGTTTTACCTCATGCGGCGTTCGCGCAGTTGTGAAGGATTTCTGTACTGCCCAGGGGTGCTGGGGCTGATCTGCGCCTCGGGTCTGAAACAAACGTTATCATGCATACCATTGCATCTCATATATATATATATATATATATAGAACCATCACCACCATGATCGCATATCATCCCGTAGCCATTCCAGGCCCAAACGGTTCAGGAGAAACACTGGATTCGATGGAAGATATTCCGAGCAGCTCCTGCGCGGGCATGGCGCGCGACTGGCTCGAGGCAGCCAAGAGGATCGCCCCTTGGATCCAAGGTGCTCGCATGACGGTGATCAGCCCTTGCTGCGGTCTGGACACCCCGACTCAAGCGCTGTGTGCAATGGGTGCCACGGCGCAGAGCATCGCTTCCGATGCGGAGCCCAAGCTGTTGCCAGCAGTGCATGGGGTTCATGACCACTAGGGAGTCGTTGATGGCAGTATCAACCTCGGTTCCGAATCGGGAGATATTTGCAAACAACAACTCTTCGAGCTCCCCGACGCAGATGTGATAGTGTCCGGCCCTCCTTGCCCACCATTCTCGCGGGGAGGGAAAAGACTCGAGTGGGCAGACGGCAAGACAATGCCTTTCGCCACGACGTGCCTGATGATCAAGGAGCAGGCTCACCGCCAGCGCAGTCGCCTGATCGGCTTCGGCCTCGAGAACGTGAAGGGGATGTTGGACTGCCTAGCTGACGGAATCGCATGTCCCGCTGACGAGGTCGTAGAGTGGCTCTGAGACAACTTGCCAGGGTGGTATATATGGATGCGGCGTATGGAGACATCGAACTTTGGCGTCAATCAGCACAGGGAGCGCATCTACATCATGGGCCGCAAGATTGACCAGTTCAGCCGATCAGTACCCCTCACTGACGCGGAGACGATCCAGATCGCGAAGAAGAAGCTCAGGGACTTCCTCGACGTGGACGAGCCCCCCTACGATGAGGAGCAGCTCTCCGAGAATCAGATGGCGGCCTTGCAGTGGTGTCGTGAACGCGTCGAGGAGCGCCGCGACGAATGTCCAGAGTGGACGGTTGCAGTCTTCGACCTGTCACGCGCGCCAGGACGGGTCTACAAACCAACATGCAGGCTGGATGACAAGGTCATGACGCTGACGACCAGGAACGGGAGATGCATATGGATCCAAGGAGTGTCCAAGAAGTTGCCCTCCTTCGACCGCTTCCTGCTTCCAAAGGAGAGGGCGGCCTTGCAGGGCATCGAACCATGGATCGTGGACCGCCTCCCTGGGCTGTGCTCGCAGTACACAGCGACAGGCAACGCTATGAGCCTGCCGCGCGTCGGCTTATGCCTCGCTTGCATGTTGGAGGATATCCAACACCCTGGCACATATAAGTAAGGCCATGTATATAGTTTAACGTCGCTTTCAGACGCGCTGGTCCGTGTGGCGAGGTGCACCCGCTTGTTTTAGCAGGGATGCCCGAGAGGAGCGCAGTTAGATTCAACATGGAAGGACTAATGCATCAATGAGGAGAGCATTGACAGGGGCATCAAGCGATGAGCAATGGTGGAGGGAGGAAGGAGGGGTTTGGAGTGTGGCGGGGAGGAGGAGGAGGAGGAGGAGGAGGAGGAGGTGGAGGAGGAGGAGGAGGACGACGACGACGACGACGACGAAGACGAAGCCGACGACGGCGAAGCCAACGACGACGACGACGACGACGACGATGATCACGACGACGACGACGCCGACGACGACGACGACGATGACGGCGACGACGACTAGCCAGACTAGCCCTCCCTTGCCCCCTCTCCCTCGCCTCCCCACCCCTTGCCTCCGCGCGCATCCCGCCCCACTTACGCCCTCCCGATCTCCAACATCACCTCGTGCTTCATCCCTGTCCCTGTCTACCTCCCCCCCCCACCTCCCTCCATTCCCTCCCCACCTCTCCCCGTGCCTAGGGCTTGGAATGAAAGCGCGGATGGCATGCCTCGTCGCCTCTGGCTCTGGCATGCTCGCAGTCCCCCTCCGACGGCACGGGCGCAGATCGATCCTAAGGGGGGTAGCCGCGCTGCGGAGACCTTTAACAACCAGGTTACACCCTCCACTAAAATCGGAGGGCAGGCCCGAAATACTTAACTTCTGTATTTCGGGCCCGCCTGCTGACTTGAAGGTCTGCTCTGCAGAGGGTGGGCATGAAAAGGACGAGGAGGATGAGAAATGATGCAACGAAAATATAACTATCCAGAATTTGTTTGGGGCGACACGTGGTCGGTAACCGCCGAGTGCTGCCTTGTCAACTTGAAGGGTAATTGGAGGGATGGGGGAGGATGATAATAACAACGACGAGGAGGGAGGAAGGGGAGGGAGGCGGAGGCCGGGTGGGCGAGGGCCCCCTCGCGGCCCGAGCCGCAGCGACATGTTGCAAGTCCCGCCCCCCCTGGCCCCAGTGGGCAAAGTAAATCTGGGCAGGGCCCGACGCAGGAGAGGCCAGAAACATCTGGCCGCTTGTTTTGGACCCGCGGGCTTGGACATACTTGTTGTATGTGTACGCGCATACATGTTTATACAATCAGGCGCAAGCTCAAGACTTTCGCCTGCCACGTGGGCCACGCACTAGACTTGCCGACGTGGCAGCAGGGGGCCTACTCGGACGAATTCCAAGGCACCAGAGATTTCGAGCTGTCGATGATGAGCACATATGCCGCATACCACCAAACGCTAAGCTTTGCGTGGAATGTGACAAACTGACCTCGCATCACCGCTGGAAAAAGTCGTGCCCCACCCCTGTGCCCAAGTTGGCCCTTTATTTTTTTGTTGCCCCGCATGCTTCACGAATAGCACGCTGTTCCGTTTGAGGCCTTGTGCGCCATTTATGCAAGTTGTAATGCTTTACACGCTCGGTGTTCCCTCTGACTCGAGCTCGCGATTGGGTTGGTCAGGGAAGTTTCTCGACGTTACCATGCGTACGCGCGCGATTTGTCCGATGTGCAAATGACAGCACTCCTCCCTTTCCCCCCGAACGCCCTGGCGGCCAGACAGGGGGCCCGAGCAAACAAGAGGCTTCCAAGAGGCCCCAAAAAAGGCCCCAAGAGGCCCCAAGAGGCCCCAAAAAGCTTTCAAGAGGCCCCGCAAAGGCTCCAAGAGGCCCAAAAGGAACCCCAAGAGGCCCCAGAACTGTTCCCAAGAGGTCCCGAAACTGTTTCCAAGAGGCCCCCGAGAGACCTACCACGAGGCCCTAACGAACACTCAAGAGGACTCTGGCCCACAACCCAAACACGGTGGTGGGATGGGCAGAAGGCCATTAGATACTCGCATATCACGCGGCCCGCGTTTTTACATCGTTGGGCGCTATTTGCATCGTTTGGATCGTGTTTACACCGCTGGGTCGGAATTACATCGGCGGGGGGAAATTTACATCGAAGCCGGGCGATGTAAAAACTTTACATCATCTACCCCGTGGGAATCCATCATCTTTGCCGCCGGCAGCTCTGGGATGGACGTTGCAGACATGCAGGAAAGTGCTGGTTCCGGTTCCGGTTCCGGTTCCCAGAGCCCTCATTCCTCAACTTATTGAGGATCTGAGGATCATGATTATGTTGATCAATTTCTTCAACCCCATCATCATACGCCATCAATATAATTTATCACATATCAATTTCAAAGTAATATATAACTACATAACATGACATAAACAACTACTGTAAATCCAACATCGACTTCAACCGAACATAAATACGACGTAATCGCCGAGCGGCCAGGAGCCCTCCCTGCCCCCCCTCCCCCCCATCCCTCCCTCCCTCCCCTCTCCCTCCCTCCCCTCTCCCTCCCTCCCCCCCTACTCCCCCCCTCCCACCCCCCCCCTCCCTCCTTTGTGTTGCCCATGCTTGGTGCTAGTTGACGCGGGTGAGTTGTTTCCAATCAACGTGAAAGCATGCCCGCCAACGAACAAAAATCGTTGGTGGTGCCACCAATAGAGATTCTATCGCAACACATCCCGCTCCAACCTCAAAACGACTGAAAGCCAGCGCTTGGCCAAAACTGCTCTCTGCACGTGCGCCGCGTATTTCCCATGCACTGAAGCTTCCCACACCTTCTGGGTGCTCCCGATCAAAGATTCATCGATGTAGCAATTCTCGAATTTAGGATGTATTATTGCAGCCTGCTCTGGGATATGCATTGCCTTGTGTACTTTCGGATTGCAGCCGCAGGACACGAACATAAAACCGATAAACCGATAAACCGATAAACGATAAACTATTTCGGTTGATCTGTTTATCGGCAGATCGACCGATAAACCGAAATGATTATATCGGTTTACCGGTCGATCTGCCGATAAACCGATCAACCACTAAACCGACTCATCGCATGCGTGCCCGAATCTCAGCACAGTTTATCAGTTTATCGGTTTATCAGTTTATCGGTTTATCGGTTTATCAGTTTATCGGTTTATCCGAAATAGTTTATCGGTTTATCAGTTTATCGGTATATCGGATGTTTCGGTTTATCGGTTTATTGGTTGATCGGTTTATCGGCCCGGCGTTGTCGTGGTTGTCCAATGGGTAATCCTTCGAAATTCTCTCTCCTCTTCCTCCTAGTCCTCCCCTTCCTCTTCCTCCTAGTCCTCCTCCGCCTCCGCCTCCTCCTCCTCCTCCTCCTCCCTCTTCCTCCTCCCCCCTCCTCCGTTCCGATCCTCCCTCCCTCCCTCCCTCTCCTCCCTCTCCTCCCTCCCTCCCTCACTGGCCCCGACGCCCATGGTTCTCCTAGTCCTCCCTCCCCCTCTTCCTCCTAGTCTCCTCCGACTCCCCTTCCTCTTCCTCCTAGTCCTCCTCCGCCTCCGCCTCCTCCTCCTCCTCCTCCCTCCTCCTCCTCCTCCTTCTCCTCCTCGTTCCTCCTCCTCGTTCCTCCTCGGATTATAATCAGGATGGCGATGATGATGATGATGATGATGATGATGATGATGATGAGTGGGAAGATGATGGTGTTGATGAAGATGATGATTATGCTTAGTAAGAAGGTGATGATGGCGGTGGTGGTGGTGATGTGGGCGGTGGTGAGGATGATGCTGAAAAGTCGGAGGATTATAAGGCGTCTTGGGGCCGTGTTTGCCGTCTTTGGGGGCGTCGTTGGGAGACGTGAAGAAGCCACTTTCGGCCGTCCACGTGCCCTGTGAAAACCATCTTAGGCTCTCGGAGGTCATTGACGGCCAGCTTGAGGCCCTCTTGTGCCCGTGATGCACGCTCTCCAAAATTGTTCTCGCTTCGCGTATCCCCACCAGCCCATCCAAAAACAGTCGCCAGGCGAGTTGACCCGATCAGGGATGCGTAGCATCATCTGGCCCAGCAGTGATCCACATCCGCTGTTGAGGTGGAGCAATCGGAGTTGAGAGAAGAGGAGGCATGCGGAAAAGGAGGGTGGAAGGAGCAAAAGGGAGGAAGGCGGGCAATGATGAGCAGGAGGGGGGGGAGGATGAGGAGGAGGGGGAGCCGGAGGAGGAGGATAACAAGTAGCATGCGTGTGCAAATCTATAGGTGGCGAAGAAAGGCACGACGACGATGGCGAGCAATACGACGACGACCACGACCACGACGACGACGACGACGACGACGACGACGACGACGAGAGTCAACCACCAACATCCTTCGCTCTGAGAGCGTCGCGTATTGGAAGCCTCTTGGGGCCATCGCGGGGCACTCTGAGGCCCATGTTGCAAGCCTCTGGAGCCCTCATGATGCGCTCTTGGGGTCCCTCTTGGGCTCTTGGGGCGCTCTTGGGGCCCTCTTGGAAGCCTTGGGTGCCCTCTTTGGGCTATCCTGGAGGCCTCTGGGGCCCTCCTGGTGCTCTCTTGGGGCCCTCTTTGGGCGCTCTTGGGGCCCTCTTGAGGCCATATTTGATGCGTTGAAGGTCTTCTTGGGGCAATCGATCATATAAGGAGGGGGGTCCTGAAGCCCCCCCCCCCCCGTCGGGGCCCGAAAATGTGCCTCTTGGTGTCCTCTTGGGCCGCTCTTTGGGCGGTCTTGAGCGCTCTTGGGGCGGTATTGGGGCCCTCCTGGGCCCCTCTTGGGGCCCTCTTGGGCCATCATGGAGCCATCTTGAGGCCTCGGGGGCCCATCGAACGCGAAAAGGCGATGATGCAGAAACCTGTGAAAAAAACAAAAGGGATTTCAAAGATTTTGGCCTCTTGATGGGTTCCTTGGAGGGCTCGACAGGCACTTGGAGCCGTCCTGGGGCGGTCTCGAGAGCTCTTGGATGCATGTTGAAAGCTATCTTGAACCATCTTGGGCTATCTTGCAAGATATTGGAGACCATCTGGGGCTCTTGGAGGCCCTCTTGCAGCCATATTGGGCCATCTTGGGCGCTCCAAATCCTCGCGAAACCCTCCCTCCAGGTCCAGGGTAGGG